ACCAGGGGCAATCCAGGTTTCATGATGTCTGAAGCTTATGCAATTTGGGTGGGGGCAGCCCTCTTTATGAAAAACAAAACATTGGCAGTGAGTGGTCTGGAGGCTTAGTTGCATTCGTCTCATGGAAAATCCACCTTATGAAATGTCCTTCCTCTGAGAAGGCCCAGGCCTAGCCTCCAAAGGCTGGTCCAGGCTGGCATCAGGATGGGGTCAGTTGCGGGAGGTCATTGCTTTTCTCTGGCTCTAACCCATGCCTGACCCAGGAATTCACTCCCTATTCCTTTATCCAATGGAGAGGCATCTCATCCCCATCCACTCCCCTCATGCTCTGCTCTGTGTCCCCAAGGGGGAGGGATATTTTCAGCCCCTACAACTAACCCAGTTAAAGACTAGGGTGGGTGTGGTGGCCTGGGATCTTTGACCTTCCTCATTTATGATGTGGTGCCCGTGTTTGGTTGTGTACAAGAAGTACCCACTGGTGTTTTTCAGAAGAGCCAGTCTAGGCCATCACAATTTACTTGTTAAAATGCATATTTTTGGGCTCCAGACATGCTTCATCAGAACCTTTGTGGAATGGAACCTTTGAAGATGGGTCTTTAACGAGTCCCCCGGGTGATTCTGGCACCCATTGGATTTGAGAACCTCGGGATTGTTCAGGTAGCAGGAATCTCCGATGTTGTCCACTGTACATTCCTGGTGATGCTGTTTGGTTCTTGGTTCTCCCGGGGCCTGTGCAATCGTGAGAGTTTTCTAAGGTGCACAGCAGTGACTCTGGAGTGAGTGTTCTGAAGGTGGACCCCAGCCCTCTCTACCGCTTGGTTCTCCCAGGGCCTGTGCAATCGTGAGAGTTTTTTAAGGTGCACAGCAGTGACTCTGGAGTGAGTGTTCTGAAGGTGGACCCCAGCCCTCTCTACCACCTGCCACACCCCCTAAGTTCCCTTGGTCTGGAATTCCCACCCCCCATACACCTGTTATATCACACCTGCCTTTCAGGGACCAGCTTAAATACCACATCCTTCACATGGCCAACCCAGCTGGCTCAGAATGTTTCCTAGTTCTCTCTCTGCCAAGGGCCACGGGCCCCTGGGGACATGCCATGGGTCCCTGGACCCTCTACCTGGCCTCATTGTTGGACTTGGCCATTGACTCTCCACCCCAGATCTTTCCCTTTGGGTCCAGGAGGTCCTCTCCACAGCCACCTCAGACTTAACTTTCCAGGCTGTCCCTTCAGCTCTCTAGACCTTGGGGGTGTGGATTTCAAATCCCTTTGTCTCTATGCTCTGTGGTCTTAGGTCAAGCTTAAGGTTAGGTCTCCCTACCTGGCCTGGGGAGTGTCCTGGGAACCTCCACATACCTGGGAGGTGGTTAAAATGTGGACTTGGAGGTCTCCCCTCAGACAGGCTCCCCTGCCCCAATGGCTCTTGCTGTGCATGTGTTACTTGCTCTACTTCAATTCAAAATGCACCCAGCATCTAACCTGTGCACAGCCCACTTGGGGTATTAGGAAGGGCACAAAACATACCCCTTGCCCTCTGGGCACTCCCTCCAGAAGGGGCACAGTGACCCAGGCATCAGGCTGGAGTGGGTAGATTGATCCAGGCAGAAGGGCCACGGAGGGCCGGAGGTGGAGGAGAAGGGAGGTGTGGGCCTGTCATCGTCTACGATTCATGAGCAGTACTCCTCCGCTCCATTTCGAGGCTGTATCCGCATCTACGTTGTTCACAGTTGATGGTTAATTTTAGGTGAGAACTTGACTGGATTAAGGAAATCCCAAGAACTGGTACAGAATTACTTCTGGGCATATCTGTGAGGGCGTTGTCAGAGATTCGCGTGACTAGTTGCACTGAGTGGGAAGATCCGCTCTCAGTGTGGGTGGGCTCCATCCAAATGGCTGGGGCTGGGAGAGACTAAAAAGGTACAGGAAAAGTGAACTCATTCTCTCTCTCTCTCTCGGACATCAGAATTCCAGGCTCTCTGGCCTTTGGACTCCAGGACTTAAAATAGCTGCCTCTCCCAGGTTCTCAGGCCTTTGGAGTGGGACTGAGAGTTACACCATTGACTTCCCTGGTTCTGGGGCTTTTGGACCTGGACTGAGCCATGCTACCAGTGTCCCCGGGTCCCTAGCTTGCACATGGCCTATTGTGGGACTTCTCAGCCTCCATAATTGTATGAGCCCAAATCCCCTCTGATCCATCTATTTGTCTCTACCTACATATCCTATTGGTCTGTCTCTCTGGAGAACCCTGGCTAATATACCTGGAATGGAGAGTCTGCTAGATTGCGTGGCTGTGCTGGCCACACAGTCTGGTCTAGATGTGTTCAGGGCGGAGCTTCCATAGCAGAGGTAGTGCCTGTTCGTGCTCTGTTCCAGGTGAGGTGAACCCTATGGTTTGAATGTCCCCCCAAAACTCACTGATGCTTGATTCTCACTGTAACAGTATTAGGAGGGTGGGAAATCCGTCTGTGGTATTTGGAAGGTGGGGACTTTGGGAGGTGATTGGATTATGAGGACTCTGTCCTTGTGAATGGGTTAATCCATTCATAGATTAGTGGGTCATGGTTTAATGGGTTATCAGGATTTGCATGGGTAGTTGCACTGAGTGGGAAGATCCCTTTATCAGGTGAGGAAGAAGCATGTGGATATGCTCCTGCTCAGCCCTCCCCATGTGACACCCTGTGTTGCCATGGGACTCTGCAGAGAGTCCCCACCAAGGAGAAAGCCCTCACCAGATATAGTTCCTAGACTGTGGACTTCCTAGCTTCCAAAAGTACAAGAAATAAATTCTGTTTCTTAAAAAACTAACCAGTTTCAAGCATCCTGTTATCAGAGACAGAAAATGGACTAATGCAGAAAAAAGCCTCTTTGTGCTAAGGGCTCCAGCACCCACGCCGCCTGGGGGTGGGGGTGGGGCAGAACTCGAGGGCACCCCCTGCCCTTTGCAGAAGCACACTGTTCCAGTCTCTAGTCTCCTGACAGTGCTGGGTGCCTCTTCAATCTGCTTGCAGTGGAAGGTGGGATCTCTGGTCCTTTTAACAGAATCAAAGATGCAAACGCTTTGTAAATGGGGATTCCGAGGTGTAACTTCTGGAGGTCGTTTCTTGTTAACTCCACTTTAGACAATAAAAATGTTTCCACTGCCCATGAAAACAAACGACCCCAGGGGGCTTTGGCCAGTTGGGTGTGGCACCTGCTGTGCCCCACTGGAATGTGATTCCCTGAACAGCGAGAGGCCAATGCTGGAGTAAGATGAGGGTTCATCCCTGAGAATTTAGATCTGTATGAAGGATCCTGAGAAAAGGCACTTTGGGGAGGATGAAACTTAAGGCTTGCTAATGAGGCAACCTGATGAAGAGCAAATTTATCCAAGAAAGGAAGCAAAGTAGAAAAATATCATCTTTCCCTTGCATGTGGTTTTTATGTTTCTCTCTAAAATGTATTGTGGGGTGAATGCAGTTTGCTCCCCCCCCCAAAAAAAACTATACATCCTAGTAGTGCAAATGAACTATCTCACAAAGAAATAAAGAAGTAGAATTCTCTGCATACTGGAGCACGGTTCAGATGAGTTCTTACCTGCTCTTTGCCTCCTGCAGTGATTTCTGTGGAGTCTGGGAGCTCCAGTTGAACAGCAACTCTTGGGGGTACCAAGCAGAACAGGAGCTAGGCTAAGTCTGCTCCAGGAAAAGGGTCCCCGGAGAGTGAGCTGGTTCCAGAAAGCTCCATGATTATTTCATTTCTTTTATGGTGAATATATTTAGAACAGAATTTTGACTTGATGAAATTTTGAGGCACTCTTTTTCCATCGAAAGAATCAATGCTTTGTTTCACTCCATCTATTTCTTTTCTTGCTGTCCCTTCTATCTTCCTACCCAGAAAAGCGCTTTTAAGAGTCGTGGCTATTTAGTAGAGAATGGATGGATTTCTTCTCTGTGTTAAATTCTTTAAGCATCAACCACAGACTCTGTTATGCAGACAAACTATCTATCTTAACCTATTAGGCCTGAAAGGATTCTCAGATATTTGCATATTATTATTGTGTGGACAGGTAGATTACCAGGTGGGCTTTGTTTGCTTGAGTGGACTCATTTCACAGACAGGAAAAGTGAGGCTTGGGGTGAGGCTCAAATGCTTGCTCGAGGTCACATAAGTAGGTGGTAAAGTAAACTACAGACACAGTAAATTGTGAAGACCTACTGGTACATCATGAGTCATTTAAAGGACGCTTTTTTTTTTTTTTTTCTAGTGGTTCCCGATGACAGAATCATTATTTCGGTAAACAAACCAAGCGGAGAACCAGATACTGTGGAACGTTATACGCTGAAAGCTCTTTGAAACCAATTGGCTCTTGGCATCTATCTTGTGGCTTAGCTTTCAAAACAGAAGTTCCTCTTACCCAGCAAAAAGTGAGTTATTCGCTTTCTTAATGTTATGACATTAACATGGGTGATCTGACACGTGCTAAGAATAGCAGAGATGGGTGGGCAAAAGAGGGAAGAACCAGATAGGAGATTTTAGAAGGTAACCTAAAAAACTAAATAACAACCGCTGGCAGGGATGGAATTCCAGGGTAGCTGTGCAAATCGGAAAACCAGACTTGCTTCTTTTGGGGTAATGATAGAATGATGCTTAATTAGATCAGAGAAGAGTGCAGATGGTCCATAATTTAGATCTAGAACATGTGGTTTCCAATCTTGCAGGGTGTCTCCATCCTGGAGGCCTAGAGGGGCAGAGCCAGAGGACGTAGTGACAGACCTGGTGCCATATCCCATAGACGAGGAATCTGAGAGTCCCATAGGCTAAGGGCTGGGTGGCCGCAGAGCCGGGACCAAAGATGCTGGCAGTCCTCTGTGTTTAACTGTTGAGCCACAGCACTCCGCTTGTGTATGCAGCGAGACTCCAGAGTTTCTGAGACATGGGTCTCTTCCCCCACTCAGCCCCCAGTGTAAAGCTGAACATGCCCTCGTGCTTCTGAGGTCTGATGATCCGATTTTGCTCCTTTCAGATGGCTTACCAGCGGATGAGGTTGCTGCATATCTGCCTTTTGGTTCTGGGGGCCCTTTGTTTGTATTTTAGCATGTACGATCCGTCTCCTTTTGAAGAGGGCTTATTCGTTTTCAAGAAAGAGTGTGGGGAGTTCCTTCAGCTCCCGGATATAGACTGCCGGCAAAACCCCCCCTTCCTTGTCCTGCTGGTGACATCGTCCCACAAGCAGCTGGCTGCTCGCATGGCCATCCGGAAGACGTGGGGGAGAGAAGCGGTTGTGAGGGGAAGACGAGCGAAGACGCTGTTCCTCCTGGGGACCACGGCCAGCCAGGCCGAAAGGCAGGCGGTGGCCGAGGAGAGCCGGCAGCACCGCGACATCATCCAGAAGGACTTTGTGGATGTGTACTACAACTTGACTCTGAAGACCATGATGGGCTTGCAATGGGTCCACCGCTTCTGCCCTCAGGTGGCGTTTGTGATGAAGACCGACTCGGACATGTTTGTGAACGTGGAGTACCTGACCGAGCTGCTGCTGAGGAAGAACAGGACGGCCAGGTTTTTCACAGGCTACTTGAAACTGAATGAATTTCCCATCAGGACGAGGTTCAGTAAGTGGTTTGTCAGTAAGTATGAGTATCCGTGGGACAAGTACCCGCCTTTTTGCTCGGGCACTGGCTACGTCTTTTCCAGCGACGTGGCGAGTCAGGTGTACAACGTGTCTGAGAGCGTCCCCTTCCTTAAGCTGGAAGACGTGTTTGTGGGGCTCTGCCTCCAGAAGCTAAACATCAGACCGGAGGAGCTGCACTCGGAGCAGACCTTTTTCCCAGAGGGGCTACGCTTTTCTGCGTGCCGCTTTAGGAGAGTCGTGGCCTGCCACTTTGTGAAGCCTCACGATCTCCTGCTGTACTGGCAGGCTCTGGAGGGTTCCCGGGGAGAAGACTGCCCAGCTGTCTGAGGGGAGCCCGGTGGCACATCTGGACGAACTTCAGATAACTCACGGCCATGACAGTCATTGGGGTGGGGAGGAAGTGAGGGAGGAAGGGGATGCTTGTTTTTAATGCTCCAAATGAACACTAGGATGTAAACCTGAATGAAGCCACTGGGGGCACCAAGCAACAGCAGACACCGTCTCTGCAGCACCTGCGCCATTGCTCTAAGTGTTTGATACACACCTGCATCTTCTTGTTTCAGGGTCTTTATCCATGAGAAGTGGTGGGTGTGGTCATCCCCATTTTACAGAGAAGGAAACAGCAGCTAGGAGAGGTATGGTAACTTGTCCCAAGGCTTGCAGCCAACGATCCTTGGAGCAGGAATGGAAATTGAGTACTCTCAGGATCCAGTCGGCAGCCTTCATCTCAGTCCACCCCGCTGTGCCGCCTCCCATGGGAGAGGACACTGATGATAAAGGCTTCGGGCGGGGAGCCTTGCTGCTGGTGTCCTTCAGTCCCTTTCTGGAGTCACTTCCACCTTGACTCCTAGGCCTTGTGCTTTTTAGTGCTGAGATTGGGATGAGCAAACTCACCCAGCTCCCTTCGCTCCCTGAGATGGATGTGGCTGGGCCCTGAGTCTGTGTTAGCAGCTGGGTACTCAGCACATCCCAACACATGTTCCAGAAGATGTGACTGCCGGGCTGCAGCTCTCGCCCCCTGAAACACCCAGCTCCAGACAGAAATCCCTTTTTATAAATTCCTAATTCAGACTCAGAAACCACTGCCAAGCATGGCCTGCTGCAGAGACCGGCCACACTGCTGCCCTTCCAGTGAGCACAGCGTCTCCTCCTAGCCTCTGCTCCACGTGTCCTTGTCTTCAATCAATGGGGACAGGTGACTGCACAGGGAGCACTTGAGGATTTTAAGCACAAACTGAAGGGCAGTTGGGCACAAGGCACGGTCTATGTAGGGTTCTGGGAGCTTTTCTGGGATTTCAGTTGGATCTGAGTCAAGATTCTCTCAAGGACTCCCTCACATGAAGCACTGAAGTGGGCCTGGTCAGAGGGGTCTCCCTGTGTCCTCTTCCCAAGCCTGATTCAAGCTCATCTTCATTGAGTTTCTCATTTGGCCAAGGAAGAACTGAGTGTGGTTTGGAGTTTAAGCTTGAATTTTCTTCCCCCAGAGGTTTGTGAGAGCCTGTTTTTGCAGGGTTGTGTGAAAATGAAGCACTTTGCAGGTGTTTTTGTCCATTTAGCACTGTCATGTGACATGCAAAGTCATCTTGCTCTTGATCATAGGAATGATTGTTTTTTTAGTTTTTACTTTACCTGACTTTACTAAGTACTCAGAGAAAAGGCCTCACATGGTTGCATAATTTATACATGTTGGGCTAAGCTCTTATCTGAACTCAGGAAAAGTTATTTGCTGCAGAATGGTTATGACAATGTTAAATTGCAGAAGCCGGCCTGGTATCCTGTCTGACACAGTGTAATGTGCTTGTGTCTGGATCGAGCTGCTTCTTTGTGGGTGTGTTTCTTCATCCTGGCTGCTCTGAATGCACTTGGTCATTTTCAGAAAAGCCTCCTTCTCAAATGGAAAAATCAGGGGCTGAGCTAGTTTTTTGAAGCTCAGGTTTGTCAGAGCCACTCCCTTGGTTCCATGGCATGGGCCGCCTCTGATTCTGAAGTTAATGGAGTCCTTGGATGGTGAAGGAGTCTGGCTGTAGGCCTGGGTCTGTACTTAGCTGTGCACCTTGTCTGGTGTGTATTCGTGTGGCCACAGTAGTGAAGGCTGGTTGAGAAAGCTGCCTCTGTGTGAGTGGCTCAGGGTCACAGCCCTTGGCTATAGGGACAAATGAGCATAGGCGTGGCCTCCACCCACAGCCTCTGTGTGTTCTTAGAGGATTTCCTGCAAGACACATGGTTTCTTCCACTGTATTTCTTTATACCATGCAGATTTTTTTTTTTCTCTCTAGGGACAAATCATTTAATGACTCTAGAACTTGAAGGGACTTTAGAGCTCATTCAGCCCTGCCTCTTCTTATGTAGGATGAAAACAGAGCTAGAGAGACCCAGAGCCATGCTGAGACTTCACAGCCATTCTGTTGTGGAATGCAGGTCGCAGTGGGTTTCCACCACCCCCAGCTGTGGTCCCATGGGCAGTTCTCAGTCCTGTCTCAGTGAGGCACGGCTGGTCTCTCTTGCTCCCTGGACGGATTCTCAGCACCTGCGTCCAAGACGCTTCAGGGTCTTTTTCTTCCCCCCACTGCTGGCCGTACCTTGCGTCCCTAACCTTAACCCTAACCCTAACCCTAACCCTAACCCTTGCTTGTTGCTTCTCTCCACTCTGGCATTTGGTGCCGGGCTCAGCCTTGGCCCCCTTCTGTCCCTCGACGTGCTCAGTTCTTGGTGGCCTCAGCCTTCTCAGGGTTTTCAATGTCTTTTGTTTTGTTTTCTCCAGCCCAGGACTCTCTCCTGCCCTGCAACCCCAATCTGTTCCACTGCCTACTTGATTTCACGTAATGAGCAAATCCAAAATGAAACTTCTGATGCGCCCCCACCCCCTCCGTCTACCGCTTCTTGCCTGTCTCAGTCAATGGCCACGGCATCCTTCCCTGTAGAAAACCTTGGGGCCATCCCTGACTCCTCTCTCTAGGCTGGTGGCATCAGAAGAGACTGTTGGTCCTATCTTCAGATTATAACCAGAAGCCGACCACTTCCACCCCCAGTTCTGCCACCACCTGTCCAAGCCCCTGTCACCTCCTGCCTGCAGGCCCGCAGTAGCCTCCAGCCTCGTCTCTCAGCTTCTGTCCTTGCATCCCTTTGGTCTGTTCCCAGCAGCGTCCGGAGGGATCGTTTGAAACTCTTGTTTGTCTTCTCCAAACCCTCCAGTGGCTTCCCTTCTCTGAGTCAAAACCACATCCTTTGTATCATAGTCTGCCTGTTACTCCCTCATCTCGTCCTTTCACAGTCTTCCTGACTCACTCTGGCCACCTTGCTGTTCCCTGAGCAGCAATGCTATTCCAGCCACAGCGGCCTTCTTGCTCATCCACCCTGGGGCCTTTGCACTGTCTGTTCTCTCTGCTGGGAATGCCCTTTCCTCAGGTATTCTTATGGCTCACTCCTTTGCCTCCTTCAAGTCCTTAGTCAGATGTCACATTCTCACCTACTCTGACCTTCTTATATGAAATTGGAACTCCCTCCACCCCCACTCTCCCCTTACCTTATAGTTTTTCCATTGCACTTTTCAGTTTCTAACAAAGCATTTAATACTATGTAATTATATTATAATTATAATACTGTTATACAAGGGTACTTCAAAAAGTCCATGGATTCATATCATCTTTTAATTCTACTTTTCCATGAACTTTTTGAAGTACCCTTGTAATATATCTTTTTTTTTTATTGTTTATGTTTCAGTAGACTTAAATGTAAGCTTTGTGTGGGCATAGATCTTTCTCTCTTTTCTTCCCGTATGCACCTTGAATTCTTAGCATGGCTCCTGGCACCTAGCAGATACTCAATACATGTTTGTTGAGTGGAACTGAATTGATCTTTATAGAAGGTGTTTTCAGAAGGGAATAGGTGAATCTAAACTGAAAAATGAAGGATTTCTAAAACACGGCCAACGCTGTGGTTCCCAGTGTGTCAGTCAGTGGGAAAATGGGTGCATGTCTATTGACTCTGGGACCTGGGACCTAGAAATGCTGTATAACAGTGCTCCCTGACTTCATATCTGCCCCTCCTTTCTGTAACAGATGACCTCACACCTTCCAAGGCAGATGGAGTCATATAGCGCAGTGACGGGCCGTCCTGCAGCCCACACATAGCCAGTCTGTCTCATCTACACCCCCACGCCCACCCTAGATGCATCCTTCCCTGTCTTTTTTGATGATTGTAGAAATTTCCCTCTTTTCCTTAACCATATTCCATTTTTAGTCCCTATTTCCCTCCCCTACACCCCCAGCCTGACAGTAAACCAAGTTGTTAGGAAGTGTAACAGGATTGTGACAGTGACTTTTCAGTCCGATTGTCTTCTTCAGATAAATAGCTGCTTATACATATGTCTATTGGGACACTAAAACCTACTATGCCAATATTTGAGGTTATTTTTAAAAACCAGAACTTTGAAAACCAAAATTTTTAAAAACAAAGGACTATCTCCTCTCTTGAGCTGTGCAGGTGAATTCTTGATGTGGCAACCTCTAGTTGTTGTCCTGAGGGGATTTAGTTGCTGGTCTTGGTACAGAAGGCAGTTCCCCTGTTAAACAAGCCTATTGGGTAGACTTCAAGGACTGTGTTTAATAATACAGACTAAAGTTTAATTAGATACTTCCTAACTGAACTCAGAAACTGTGTTTGTATACTGTGGTATGGAATAAACTATGCCAAGATGACAGCAAATAAAAATTGCAGAACATTTTAATTTTACAAACTGTAATACATGCCTCTTATTTAATTACTGAAGATTGTTCCCTGGCTGTCCAGTCTCAACGACCTCTGAGATGAATCACATTAGTAACTTGGATGGAAATTCTCATATCGCAGCTATTTTTTATAGGCTGCACTTCTGTCCATGGGTCTAATTGCATTATCCTAAGCCTCCAGCTCTCCTTTCACAGTCATTTAACTCTTTCTTAAAAAGCTTTGCCTACTCTTTAATGTCCTCAACACAGCATATATCTTCGAAGCATCTGTTCATGTCTAATGCAGCCTTGAGCTGGTTCTTCACTTCCTGTTGTCTCTGAGGTTAACCACCTCAGGCTGCAGGAGGGTCAAGCGTGGCCAAGAGCAGGAATTATCTTTGCTTCAAATGTCATTGCCTGTTTAATAGACATCACAGTGACTTCTGTGTGCAACATTCAATTTGGCCACGCTGTCCTGAGAGCAAGGCTGGTGATTCCCAATCCTGTTGGGCACCCGGCTCTGCTCCAGGTATCCCTAAATGCTGGCAAGGAGTGCGGAAATGGACTTTTAAAAACAAAACTAATTACTTTTCATTCGAGTTTTTGATCCCCTTGGGTATT